GGAAACCAATTTGACAATAAATTTCATATATAAATAAAAAAAACTGTATAAATGAGAATTATCTACTTCATTTTTGAGGAGGGAATGCTATCAAGCTCCCAAAGGCAATGCATGTTCAAAAGATGTTGACCTAGCAAATTTCTGGATATTCATAAGATTATGTGGTTTTAAGTGAGTTCCTTGTATGCATTGACCTACCAAGAGGATCCCAGATATTGTAGATGAAATTATAAAGGCATGCATTGCAACAGTGCACAAAATTCAGTCCTACACATCCAAATCAGTTGATGTTAAGATGCAAAAGTAGAAGCAAGCTGGCCAAGTTTACTGCTTCCATTGCAGCATGGAATATATCCTACAGCCTAAGTCAGTATTAGTTCCTTGGAGGTGAGTAGGAGCCCACAATGTAACTTTTAAAACATAGGCTAGAGGAAAGGTCTCCCATCATAGATCTTGGACTATATAGTTAGGAAAATGACCACGAATGACTTGATGGGATTGATGGGACAGTATTTCACACCTTCAAGTTACATAGCTTAGCTATGGGTCCACTTTAAAACCATACAATCACTCTTCAAACTGAAAGAGATCTATTTCAACCCTGCATATTATAGATGAGAAAACTAAAGCCAAAAGTCTTTCCCAATGATCATGCTTTTCTATTTTTAAATAGTTAGCTAACTGGCTTCCAAGGTTATGTTTACTTCTTCATCTTCCACATTCTTTTTTATTTAGTTTATTTATCTTTTTTTTTGAAAGAGAAAGATAGAGCATGCAAGAGGAGCAGAGAGAAAGGGAGGAAGAGAGAGAATTCCAAGCAGGCTCCGTGCCACCAGCACAGAGCTGGACATGGTGCTTGACCTCACAAACTGTGAGATCATGATCTGAGCTGAAATCAAGAGTCAGACACTTAACCAACTGAGCCACAAAAGTGTCCCTTCATCCTCTACATTCTTGGCACCCCTCCCTATCACTACTATGGGACTCTTACCAATGATGTTATGAACACAGTTCTCCTTGGCAATATTCTGGAGTTGGCCTAAAAGAGATGCCATGTTTTCTCTTCTCAGGGCAGTAAGGTCCATGTCTTTGAGGCCTTGATGGATTTCCTGAGACACTTGTTCACTCACACTCAGCATAGCCACTTGAGGCCTAGATAATGAAGGAAAGAAAGCAGAGTGGCCTTGACATAGGGTCAGAACAGAGTGGCCCTGACCTAGGGTCAAAGCCCAGAAAGCCCCTAATAGAAGACAGGTCCTCAAAGGATAATTCTAAGTCACCACTACTGGTAGACAGCAGGACCCCATGTACAAATTAAAAACCTTCAAGGGGCCAACTAATTCATCTTCAAGTAAAACAACATAAATTGGACAAGGGTTCAGTTCTATCGTTGGATTCACTCAGTATTCTTTAGTCACATAAACGTTATTTAAATCTTGTTTTAAGATTTTCTTGGGTATTTTCCTGGTTGTTCTTTTCATATTTCACCAATTACATTATAAATATGTTAAGAGACCTGGACTTCTAATTCCTCTTTTTTTTTTTTTTTTTTTTT